TAATATCATATAACCACCCGCATCGTCCTAACTTGGAGATACACAGCATTACTCACGGACGCAGTTTGTCCCCCCACAAACAATGGAGGCACTTTTTGAATATTTGTTTTTTTTCCAGACCTCTCCAAATGTATATTTTTATGGCTTTTAAAAAATGTAAAGTTGAATTTAATTGCAGAAATTAAAATGTTAATAAAAGCAAAACACATAAGCTACAGATAAATGTGAGTTTCAGCCCATGACCATTCCAGCTTTCACGGCGTTTCAGGAACAATGGGAGGTGATGTCTGGAAATAGCCTGCACAGAACAGGAAAGCGAATTCGGTTCTGTCGTGGGGTGAACATACAGTCCCAAGTTCCCATCTATAATTTCCTGTGCTGGTCGTGGATTGATCTCTACAAGATTATTGTCTGTGAAATGATAACAGGGTAGAAAATAGAATTTCCCACTGAGACAAAGAAAGCCTATTGAACAACCCTGAAAGGTGACATGTACCCTGAAGTTTATTGTAGGTCCACAAGCCGTTTGGATGCAGCCTTCTTTCTCCCGAGCCCTGCTTTCAGAGTCAGGCAGCTGGCTCTGTATTATCAGCACTGAAGTTCAAGTTAAATAGAAACCCAGGACCTGCAGGACTGTTGTACACATCGCAGGACCTATAAATAGATTCACACATGTGCGTCTGTACAGACACATTCTCTGTCCATTTTGTATTTGGATTGGGGGACTTCAGTCTTTTAAGTATATGAACTCTAATTAGCCCATGAAGACTCTGTCCCAAGTATTTATAATTATAGTTATTTTTAACCAAAAGAATCAATTTTAATAGAAAATAAGATGACATTCCTGCTACACCCATACAAATACTTTTTTTTCCAAGCTGAATGTCTACCTTAAAAAAACAGTCTGACAATTTCATCTTGCCAACAAATGTGGACTGCCAATTGTCATATTATGTAGCTCAATATTTTAGTGGCCATGTAGGATTTCACCCTTCTCTCCTGTCAGACATAAGAACATTGCATGAACCATGAACTTCCCCCTTGAAGTTCATGTTGTGTGACTGTGATCCTGGCATAATCATTACTTTATCATACATACTTTTAGTGCTATAATAATTTAAGCCCTTGGATAATTTCTAAATTAGTCTTCTCATGCTGAGTCCTAATTTAGAGGGAAAAGTATCTTACTAATTATTCACTGAGTTGCGGACAGCCTGAACATTTATTTTGTCAAGAAGTTTTTGTGGTGGTTACACAAAGAGAGGGGTTTGGGTCAGAGTATCATTCATGTAAATCTGAGGTGACATTAGAAAAACCAGTGAAAGTTGCCCACAAGACAATTCCCCCACCGCGGACTGGGCTTGTGGGTAAGCAGAGCTCTCTGTCAGCTCCGTACTCTGCATGAAGGACGACAGTGGCTTGACTTCCCTGAGGACAATTGCTTCTCTGACCTTTAAGCTTCTAGTCTCAGCAAGACTGTGACCCAGGTGCCTGCGTTTCTCAAATTTCACGTGGGCATGTGACTTGGGAGGAGTGACTGGATTTCCCCACACTGAACCGACTTGTGGCATGCTGAAGAAAGTGACTTTCCAGCTCCCTGAACCAGTAATCCAAGAGCTGCCCCAGCTCCCCTCCTTCCTGGGGCTGGCTTTGGCATTTTCTCATTTATCTGAAGGACACCATGTACTTCCAGAAAATTCTATTTTTCCTTGTTACCAAAGTTCCTTTGTGTTCCCTGCCAGCCAAGAGCTCTGACAGGACAGGCCCAGTAACTGGCTCAGAGCCTATAGCATGATTTCCAGAGAGGTCTGTAGACAAACTTAATGCCAGCTGAGGAATTCTAAGCTTAGAAATTAACCCGGGCCAAGCTCTATTGGCCTGGGAGGCTGAGAAGGAATCCACTCCTGCCTGGCACCCACAGCCTACTCCTCTTGGCATGCAGGGCCCTCTGTAGCCTGTCATGCAAAGTCAAACCTGTGTGCTGTTACTGAGCCCGTGTAATTACTGTGTAGTCAGATTACTGGGGACCCTGACAGAGCCTGGACACACACCAGTACTTCCAGCCCACATGAAGAACTAACTGCCCAGGTCTGATATATATTTTATATCATGCCTGGGTTTAAAGGGAGAAACTTCTAGAAGGTCTAGAAGGTCATTTGCTCACTTAGATATCATTGCACACAGCAGTATAACTCTTGGTGATGATTTTGGCATCTGGAAGTGTGTTCTGGATAAATGTTGACTATTCCATCAGCTGTGTGTACAGGCTGCAGACCTCCTTTATATCCCGGAAGCCTTATTTGGTTTTAGTCTTTTAGTCAATCTGAGGCAACTGGTAATATGTGAATTCATTGGCTGGCTTCTCATGCTTTTTATATATTGATCTAATGCTAACTCATCTTTTCATAACTTGATATTATATCTATATAATATTTCCTGTGTTTGTTAACACAGTCAAAGTCTTAAATCTTAAAACACTGTTTTTTCCCAAGTTTGCAGTTGTTTACTTTTTTGTCTATTTTTGTTTTTAAATAAAATCAGTTACTTATAAGACCTGGTTTCCAAATACAGCCCTTTCACAAAACATTGTAACCTGTAAGATTAAAGCTTAGTTGTCTCACTGTTTAAATTGGTACTAACAGATCCTGTCGGGTTTGGGTTAAATCACAGAGTGGTATCGATTGAGCAGCGCAGATTCAAAGCCTTGAGTCCATGCATTGAGTCCAGTTTCCAGTACTTTTATTTTATAGATATAAAATCAAGGCCAAAATGGTGTGAATAAATTGCTAAAAGGGTTTTGCTTTAAACATTCTGTAAAGGATATAAAATATATTCTAAACGTAATGTGCAAAACAAAATAACACAAAGCCCTGGGAACCGTGACGTGGTATAAAACGGAAGATGGAGGATGGGCTTCCGATCGTTCCTTGGAATCGCTTTATTCCTAATACAGTTCATGGAGTGATGGAAAAGTGTCAGCAAAATGTTAAGAGGTCATGTGTGCAGGGTAAGATGCCCAAAGGCTGTGAGTCCTGTGCAGAATAATCACACAAGTAGAGAGAAAACCTTCCGGAATGGGGTTTGCAGCTGCCATGGCTCACTTCCTGCTGTGTCCCACTGCTCTATGAAATAATAGCGTCCCCTGAAATGGAAATAAAGGAAAAGGGACTTGTAGAAAAACCTGAGAGTTTTTACATTCGTATTTATCTTCATTCCCTTCCAAGAGGGAAAAATGAGCTTGATCAATGGCCGATGGGGTTGACCTTATTAAGAGGTGTTTTGCATTTATATGGAAGAGTCTGAAAAGAATTAGAGATCGATGCTTAGAAAACTAAGGACATTTATCCATTCATATTTTAGCTTTTCCCTTCAGCATCTGTTTATTCAAATTCTGCACCAGGTACTGTTCTAGGGCTTCAAAAGGACAACAGCTGCAAACAGCTGGTGTTTGCAGAAGCAGGAGGCTGCTGGACAGAGGCTGAGTGCAGGGAGGACAGGTGGTCAGCCCCGGCCAGAGCTGGCTTGGCCCTGGTGCTGACGCAGGTGGGAGGCATTGGCGCCTGTGTCACCTGGCTGCCGTGCTGAGGGTGGGGGACAGGGGGATGTGGGAAGAGTGGAGGAGGATGCATGCTCTGTGGGGAAGCCCCTGGTGCTATCTGCACAGGTGTGGGTACATGAGCCTGGGCTCATAAAGTCAAGAGTTTTGCTTTAGACGTAGGTATCATAAATATCTATTAGACACAAAGCAGATATGTAGACAGTTCAATATTCAACTTAGGAATTCAGGCTAAATACAAAACTTGGTGTCATTGGCATGTAGGTAATATTTAAGTCCTGAATCTAATGGAGGTCAGGAAGGGAGCAGAGGTGGGACTGAGTCCAAGGCTGATCCCTGCCTTGCTCAAGCATTCTGCAGGCAGGGAGTTGAGGACAATGAGAAGGGGGCCGGGGGGGTCCAAGGAAGGTTGGCATTGTGTGACCATTGTACGATTTGAACCAAATAAAGAAACAACTGTGGGAAATCCTGCTGTCAGCTCATGGAAAAAGGATGAAAATGACTGCTGTGTTTAGTGAGTGCGTCAGGAGCCGTCTTGGTGGAGTTGTTGGGGAAAATCTCATCTGAGTAGGTTCAACAGTGAATGGGAGGAAGTTTGTTTTTTTATTGTTTGGAATTCATTGGGAATACAAAGAATTAGGTTACACTGATTGCATTTGTTAGGTAAAGTCCCTCTGGTAACTGTGTCCCGCCCCCAAGAGGTTGCCATACACCTGATCCCCCACCCCTTCCCTCGGGAGAAGGATTTGGAAATAGCAGGTTTATGTACTTGTTGGGGGAGATTTTTCTGAAAAGAGGAATTGGGAAATGGAATGACAGAAGCTGAAGTAGGTGAGAGATGTTTGCTTATTCATTTTAGCATGTTTATCTGCTGAACAGAATGGTTTAATAGGTAGAAAAAGAGAGGAAAAAATCTTTAAAAAACCCAACAAAACATTCATTATATCTAGTCAGTTTTCCAATGAGTTTTCTACAAATTAATTTTGTCTTTATAGGACTGTGAAACGTCTCCATCCTGATCAATTGTTAGACGGAGTCCCATGTCCATAAAGCGTGGGATGGTAAGAAATGTTTTACGATGTTAAAAACTCACAAACGTCATGCAATCATTTCCTCCCTTATTCCAAAGTTGTGAGTCCCTTTCCTGGGTAGTGACATTCATGGGATTTCGTGCACACTAGTAAGAGCTGGCCTTGCTGACAGCACAGAGAGCTCAGGGATGGTGTCCAGCAGAACCTAGGGCCAGACCCTCGAGGTGGGTCTGGGTGGACAACATGCATCTCAACTTCTCATTCAACGGCCATCAGGAGCGAGAGGGAAGGCAGGAAGCATCGGTGGTTACTCAGCAATGACAAAGATGCGCAGGACATTTGGCTTGGTTGCCAGAAATGCTGATAGAAGTAAAATGTAAACATTGCACGTTAATTTAAAGAAAAACTAACAGGTGCTCGTTTCAGCAGCACATATGTGAAAACTGGAGTGATAACAGAGGGGGTCAGCATGGCCCCTGTGCAAATTCATAACGCAAATTCATAATGTGTTCCATATTTTTCTACCCAGAAGAAAAAAAAAATTACCATGAGGACATTTGCATGAGAATGTTTATGGTAGCTCAATTCACAATCACCAAGATGTGGAATCAACCCAAATGCCCATCAACGCATGAATGGATTAGCAAAGGGTGGCATACGCAGGCCAGAGAGTACTATTCAGCCATAAAAGGTGGAGATTTTACATCTTTTGTATTAACCTGGATAGAGTTAGAGAACACTCTCCTTAGTAAAGTATTGCAAGAACGGAAAAGCAAGTACCCAATATACTCAATAATATGAAACCAATAGATAACTATATGCCCACAGGAGAGAAAAACTGAATTAAAATCCAGTGGGGGGAATATGGAGAAGGGAAGTGGGAGAGGGGTTAGGGAGGGGGGCTGGGAGCTCTCACCTAATGGGCTCCATGTAGGGGTGTATGGCACATGTCCTGGGTGAGGGGTACAACCACAACAGGGACCTTATCTAACAAAAAACCCCAATGTAACCTAATCACTTATACTCTCATATTAATCTGAAATAAAACAAAAGACAACCACCACCCCCAAAGAAAAATTAACAGTATTGGAAGAATGGAGAAGGGTACGGTGAGTTGGGAAGAGGTAAGAGCCAAACTCTGATATTTCAAAATAGGAGGAGGTCCAGGCGGGTATCAGGTATTGACGCACTGATGACGGCATGTGAAAATATGATTTGGAAGCAGACAGGTGAGAGTCAGAGGACGCAGAACAGGAGTGGGTCAGGGCGGGGGTGGCAAGGTCAAGAGGTTGCTTTTCGGGAGGCTCATTGTGCACCTTGGCTTTTAAATCAAACTTAAAAATAGAGAAAGGGAAGAACAGGGCTGTGAAGTACAGTGGGCAAAGTTTCACGCGCTGCTCTCTCCTCACATTTGATAAGAAAACAGAAGTGTTATGTCAATAGATAGTGAGGGCACGTTCTCAGGGAAGGGTGCTTACTGTTAGTTGTGAAACTGCAGCTGTGTTTAAAAACTGATTATTAAACATCTACCACATCATTTAAATTAAATCTGCTATCGTTGGAGAGGGCTTTCTGGGGTAGCAGGGCAGGGTCTTCTGGTCTCCTTTCTCTCTTTTATGGAACAAGCACAGTTACAGTCACATCTGACGCACAGTAGGATTCTTTGCACTGACATTTCATTTAAGATTATTTTGTAACAATATTTATAAGTGAGATTAATGTGAATGTTTTTGGTACAATATTTGGTTTGGGGGTCAGTGTTTCACCTGACATATGAAAATTATTTTGGGAGTTTTCTTCTTTTTATATGTTCTGGCATAGATGTATATTGAGAGAGTTAAATACTCCCATAAGTACGATGGCTACGTGGATCAGTATGAAAGTTTTGAGACAGACTGTTACGGGCTGTCATTTCACTTCCAAGAAATAGCTGACAGCGACCTTCCTGATTTACCTGTGTAAGTTTCAGCTTGCTCAGATTATCGGTGTTCCTGGGAGGGCTTCATTGGTTTCTGACTTTGTAGATTTTTTGTTTCTTGATGTCTGTGTACCTCAAAACATCACAACTTTGGTAATGACCCATGTAAGTGCCTTTAAGGGAACTAGGATTTATATCTTCGGGCAGATCAATCACAATTTCCCTTTTCTTCCATCCCAGTTTTCCCAGGTGAGATGTGAAATGAATCGCTTCTAAAGACACGGTGGCCAGTCCCAGGCCCCCACCCCTACTCACACACGCAGAGGACACTTAGCTGAGGTTTAGAGACAAGCCATAATCAGCACTTAGACCACACGCCCCATCCTGTGGGGGCTCCTCAACTCTTGGTAGATGAAGGGAGGCCATATGAGGGAGTGAAATCTTCCTGTGGAAACTTCCCCCAGTGAGGGGACTCGGGATTGGCTGTCTTGGTTAGCAGATTACAATCCAGACTCTCTATTAATATGAATATTAACTTTCACGGAATTGTTTCCATTAAAATGTAAAAATATTTGTTCCCTTTTATTCTGAAAAATATTAATTTAAAGATAACGTTTATTCTTTTTCTAAATTTAAGATTTAGACCAGAGTATGTTTGAGGTGTGGTGGGGAGGTGAAAGGAGGAAGGACAATAAGAGCTTTAACAGCAAACCCCGACTGTAATGTCAGGTGAAGAATATTACAGACAGCTATGTTTTTAAAGTGGGCACAATTATTTCAAAATGCATTTTCTAGCTTTAGGTATATTGGATATACCTGGGTACTTACAGGGTCATTATGAAGCAAGTTAGATCTTACATTTTATTTGCCTGTAAAATGTGTTCTTTCCCACAGATTTCTTTCTAGTGTATTTTTTTTTAACATTAGAAATTTGCTAGCTGAGCTTTTTACATGCTGCAACAGGAAGACACAGTGTGCGTGTGGGTTTTTAAATAACTATTAAGGCAACTAAGCATCTTTCATGTGTTAGAAGGACCTTCCCCTTTTCTACTTATTTACATTTTCATACTGAAGGTTAAACAGAGTAAAAAAGATATGCAAAAATTTTGTCTGTGACAGTTACCTTGAGGTCAAGTATAATTAGCATATATTTGAAATCTCCAGAGAACAAGTCTGGGTTTTCTTTTCTTTTTTTTTTTAAATCATGGGTTTAAAAAAATTCTAAAAGAGAAATGAATAACAATCATAGAGTCAGCCCTTCATCCAACAAAGCCCTTGAATTCTGAGGGTCAATCCTTTTAACACTTTTCATATAAAATGGTGTTAAAATGACGTGATAGTAAGGCTGTCAGAATGCATTCACCAGGCTGTTCCGTAGTAAAGTGGGGATGTCCGGACTGACGGCAGGTGTCCGCATCCGGTCTCAGGCCCGGGGTGCGGCGGGGAAGGAGCTCACCCTGCACAACCCGCAGTGGAAATCCAGAGAGAGCATTCCTTAGTATTTCTAATATTACAGGGGCTCGCTTATTCGCTCCTGCACACTGGTTTCAAATGGTTCCTGCCGCGGGGGGGGCGCGAGTGCAGCCGCAGAGACCCGCGTCCCCTGCGGTTAAGCCTGCAAGGCCTCCGGGCAGCCCTGCTGCGTGTCTGGAACGTGGTTCATGTTCAGGGTTGGGTAGAAACAGGAGACAAGAGAAAGGAACTATCACTGGGTGCTCAGGAGTCAATCAAAAGGTTGTTAGATGCTTCACAATTCATGACATATCTTTATGATAATATTTATAAAAAACTAACGCCCAATACGAGAATTTTGAAAAACCACAAGATTACCACTGCGCGCGCCCTGAGTGTCCTTGTGTCTCTTCAGTTAGACGCGTATTGTAAGACAGAAAGGAACAGCACATCAAAAATTCGCAGAAGTCGTCTGAAAATGTTTTTGGTAATCCCAGCTGACCAATTAGTGGCATTCATGACACACTGAGCAACAGGAGGCCACAGTCAGCGCTGGGCTCTCAGCTGGGTCCTGCGGGGCCGGACATGACCTGCCCAGGAGAGACGCAGCTGCAGTTTACCTCGCCTTTCCTAGACTGGAGAGCAGGATCTATACACGTTGGTTATGTTAATCACTTAAGGTTATTAAACATTTATTAGATGTTATTTGATAACATCCTCCCCCCTTTTGTGGCTGCCACAGCTTGTGCGACGTGAGAGGACCTTCCCCGCGCCTGCTCTGTGCCAGGACACGTCCCTGTCTCTCATCCGCTTCGCTTCGTTTGCTTTCTAACAGTGACTGCCCCATTCTGTCCACAAAATAGCCTTGTGAGATGAGCAGCCTGAGGGTTGGCAGTCACGTGTGTGAGGTGTGCATCTGCAGGAAGTCACGTGCATGAGGCCCATGTCTACAGGAAGTCATGTGTGTGAGGCGGGTGTCTACAGGAAGTCACGTGCATGAGGCCCTTGTTTACAGGAAGTCACGTGTGTGAGGTGGGTGTCTACAGGAAGTTGTGTGTGAGGTGGGTGTCTACAGGAAGTCATGAGTGTGAGGCCGACATCTACAGGAAGTCATGTGTGTGAGGCCCACATCTACAGGAAGTCACATGCATGAGGCCCATGTCTACAGGAAGTCATGTGTGTGAGGCCCGTGTATGTATGAAGTCATGTGTGTGAGGCAGGTGTCTACAGGAAGTCATGTGTGAGGTGGGTGTCTACAGGAAGTCACGTGTGTGAGG